CCCAAGGAGAAGCTCGGAGTTGGAGGGCCCAAGCGGGCCATGCCGGTACCTGGCGCCGAGTTCGGGCTGCTCCTTCAGCGGTCCTGAGTCTTCTCTGAGCTCCACGTTGGGCACCAATCTTGTCAATGGAAAAAAAGACCAAACTCTGTAAAGTAATTTTAAAGAGATTTACTCTGAGCCAAATTTGAGGACCATGACCCGGAGCCACGCCCAAGAGGCCTTGAGCAGTGGACTCGCAGAGGTTGGGTCACAGTTTGGTTTTATACATTTCAGGGGTTACAGGTGAAGTCATAAATCAATACGTGGGAGGCATACATTGGTTTGGCCCGAAAAGGTGGGCCATCTCGAAGCGGGGGCTTACAGGTTATAGGTGGGTTAAAAGACTCTTTGGCCTGTAATTGGTTAAAGACATGAAGCTTTGTCTAGAGGCTTGGAATGTTTCAACATAAGGATCTGTTTATCAGAGATGAGCCACTGGACATAGGTTTGTTGTGTAAATTGAGGACCTGCAGGTGTGTCTTGCATACCCTTAGGCCTGTTAATGGGTTATAAAGGATGTCACCAAGAAGGGAGGGGGGCATGATAAGGCATGTCTGACCTCCTTCCTCCTGGCAGGCAATTTAGTTTTAGGGTATTCCTTTGGCCACGAGGGGGTCCATTTAGTCAGCCGGTGGCGGGGGTGAGACTTAAAATTTTATTTTAGTACACAGTCCAGTGGTTTGTCTCTGATTAACAGACCTCCTTATCTTAAAACATTCCCAGCCTCTAGACAAACTTCATGTCTTTAAGCAATTACAAGTCAAAGAGTCTTTAAACCCACCTATAACTTGTAAACCCCAACTTCAAAGTGTCCCGCCTTCTTGGACCAAACCAATGTAAATCTTCCATGTATTGATTTATGATTTCACCTGCAATTGCTGTCTCTCTAAAATGTATAGAACCAAACCTTAATCTGACCTCCCCAAGACCATTTACTCAGTGCTTCCTGGGTGTGGCTCTCCAGGCCATGGTTGCACAGATTAGCTGTGAACAAACCTCTGTAAATTATTTCACGGAGTTTGGGTTTCTTTGCCCTTAACATATATCTCACCCCTCACCTTTGCATCCTGCCCTTGCCGGGCTGTGGGGACCAGGGCTCCCGTGTGTGGATTATGCTAGGGCGTCCCAGAGGAGCAGAGCAGCCCTCCAGCTGGTCCCCGCCAGACACTCGCAGAGGTCCAGAGACAACCCCATGGTGTCCGGTCACACACGTGCGCCCTCACTGTGTCTCAGGCTGCACTTGTGTTACCCCAGAAAATGGCCAGAAGGAAAACGCAGCCCTGAGGCCCTGCTGCGTGCAGCCAGTGGGTTCTGTCCTGGGCAGGATGTGCAGGCCCAGCTAGAGCTCTTTGCTAGGATTGCTGGGACGGGGCCCTGAGGATTGTGACATGGCTGGGGTGCTGCACGTTGTGGGGACAGAGGGAGAGAGACAACCTGCACAGAGGCTATGTTCTTGGAGGGGGTCCCCCAGTCTCTGACTGGAACTAGAGGCCAAGGCACCAGCACCCCTGCAGCTGCTTGGGGATGGGCGGTCTGTGACGGCCCCCACCAGGCACCTTCCCGCTCACTGCTGGACATCCTGATGGTCCACACCTCTGCTCAGGTGCACCTGGCAGTGTCACAGAATCACGTATCCAAAATGAAGTGTGGGGAATGAAAGGGAGCAGATTTACTGTAGAATACAGGAGGCAGTGAGGGTGCCAGGAGCAGAATTAACAGTCATGGAAATGGGGGAGGGGGAGAAGGGAGAAAACGGGGCAGACAAGACGGCTGAGATTTATTTTCTCCACAGCTGAAAGTATCAAGTTATGATGTCAAGAAATTCTTGAAAAAGCTGAAATGTAAGGTGAAATGTGGGTGAGAACTTCCCTAAAGTACATCAGAAAAACATGAGCAAAAACCAGATTAACTGATTACTACGAGTGGGAAGCACTGGAATTATCAGGAGAATCTTGGTTCTCTTCAAACGGGTTTAGATACAGACTTAAGACTTCTCATGGTGAGTGTCTGTTGGAGACTCCGTGGACTGAGTCCTCTGAATTCTGAGGGGGAATCAGTGCTGGTCCGTAATCCTGGCCCCGTGCAGCCGGTCCTTAGAAATGGTCTCATTCTGAGGAATGAATTTTAAATGAAGAAATGTTGAGAGAAAGTGCACCAAAGGGTATAGTCGGAGGTGATGCTCAGTAAAGGTAAATGATCCCAGATAGAAGGTGAAAGAAGACGAAAGAAATGAGTAGCAAATGGAAGCTATACATGTAATAATAAATAAACGTTGAATAGTTGAAAAATAGTCACATCATGTTGTATAAGTTTCTAAATAAAAAGAGTTAAAGTATCATACAAAACACCAATGACATTTAGGGTGAAAGAATTAAATTGTGGTCAGATATACCAAGATCCTTGCACCACACAGAACAACAGGTTAAAGCAGGCGTCTGCAGAGCTTCATAGGTCAGATATTCTCCTTGTATTCCCCATGAAAACACTGAAGGAAGAAAAAGAGTTTCTAACCGTCACAGGCTCAGCATAAGAAGAAATTGTCATAAGAAGGCAGATTTCGAAAGGGGGAGGAATGTGGGCTCTTGGGACACCAGGAGACAGAGTTAAACATGATACAGCCTTTGGAATACACCATGACCACAGTGGTTTAAACAGAATGACCCATTTGCAAAAACAAAAAATGTTACGTTCATAGTTTGCAGGGCAATGTGATTTTTGCTTCTGATTGTGACTTGGTCACCGCCACCCATAAACAATGGCAAAATTGGGAAAACACGTGTGAATTATTTGCTATCAGAGGTCAGGCGGCAGCCAGGCCCCTTGTGTCTCCTGCCGAGAAGCGACCAGCACATGCACAGGAGGAAACTACCGGAGACCAGGAAGGATCCACACCGGGGCTCCGTGGGGTCAGGAGTAGTTTCTGTTCCCAGCAGGCGGAGTAAATCAATAAATCTCATAATTCGGAGTGATTCCAGTAGAGTTCTCAGAAGGGTTACACAGAGTACAGGAGAACAATTTACCCTATTTAACTGCTGATCTGGTACCCCCAATAAGCTTCAAAGCAAAAATCAAGAGCATCGAACTGTTTCCAAACCTCTAACTTCTAACCAGGACCAA